GAAATTTGTATTGAAGATTTTTATAAATAAGAAGCTCCTGTTTGTTTGTTTGAAAAAAAAACAATATACATGAGCATTAATCGGGTTATAGCTGCACTTCATATCTTTTCAAATTCACCAAATTCATGTGTTGCTCTTAAAAAAAGCAAGACTAAAAATCTTAACCAATTTATTAGTTAATTATTTAAAAATTGATTAATGTCTAACCCCTCTTCCTCACAGTCCTCTAGAGGAAAACGCAAATGAAGAACAGCAATAATGTACGCTGGATGACCTCCACTTCCTAAAGAGAGGAGAAAACAGGCTTTTTTTTCCTCCTTTTTTTCAAGCGTTTCAGTCCTCATCAGAGAGGAGCAAAAGGAGGGACAGCATTCCCCCACTCGCCATCATTAATCATGGCTTTCTGGGAGCAAGTGCATATTAATTTCTGTCATCCCAAACATCATTTGGTATTGTTATGCCACGGCTCAGTCCTCATTCACCAGCAGACGTCGGGCCGTTCCTCCTGGTCTGAGGGAAGACAGGGGCCTGTGTGGCGGCGTTTCAGAGCGAGAGGCCTTTATCCCTGGGGCTCTGACACCAATTAAGCCGTTTCACCGAGAGAAGAAAAAAACAGGGACCCGTCGTTTCGCTGTAACATGAGCCAGCAACTAACTGCTGGCGCCTCGCCATCTTTCCATTACTTCAGAAACAAAATTGAACTTCAAGGGACTTAAGAAAACAAAAACTATGATCTGCACTGTGAGCTTTTTTTTAAATTTATGCTCATAACTCCAAAAACAAAATTATGGAGGTGTTTAAGAGTTTGCCCATTTAACACCAGCAGTAGCAGACCTGTGTGCACCTCATGTGCTATAATAAAACTATTACACGACTAGTATAAAACTCTATTAATGTATTTACATACGATAAAATCAAAGAGATATCTTTGCTGGCAGTGCAATAGCTTTTAGATCCCCTTTTTCCTCTTGCACTGTTTCATAAGCAGCAGAGTGGAGCTTGTCTTAAGGCTACAGCAGAATAATGCAAGGTTTGCTATGAATTAAATATTAGAAATCTTAACACGGCAGCCAATAAGAATTATTTGCCTTATTAAAGCAGCAGAAGACGCTGATTAAAATTTCATTGCATTGCAGTCTTTTTCCCATTTCTGCCGCCGATATATCATTGTAATGTACGAAAAGCAGAACAATGGCATATGGAACAATGGCAAGAGGAGCACAAATTTAAAGCTTGCAGAAGAAGAAAAGACAACTCTCTAGGAAAAAAAAAATCATGAAAAAGAAACATGGAGTTTCGGGCAATAGGCTTCAGACCACAAAAGTGATGATAAGCTTAAAGAAAGATCTTTACCAAAATATCTGCAAAATTTCCTCTCCTATTGGAATAACATATCTTCATAGATACATTACAAAAAGAAATCTTGTAGGTTATTTAATATTGTGTATTAAACTTGCTTAAATTTTAATAAAGCATATTAGTTCTGTAAAAATATTTCATAAAAATTAAAGTCTAACAATAATTTTTGGTAAGATACCCCTCTAAATTAAACTAAAGAGCAAGTTGTTTTTCTCTTTTGTTGGGGGTATTGCGCATTAAGGTTTATATGTTTATAGTTTTATTTAAATTTACATATAAGCTTGATAGAACTCCAAACCACTATATTACTTGTAGATTTTACGAAGCTTAGCCATTTCTTAAGCATTTTTCATCTTTTATGCATTTAGCTTAGCCAGTTAGCCGGCTGAGCTAACTAAGCCTGAGGCAGTTGATGATAATGAAGGACACACTTTAGCTGAGGTTGTCAGGGAAACTGTTTACATTAAAACTCATTTGAACAAGATAGAAATCATATATTAAAATTTTAGTAAGACTTTTATAGGTTAACTAAGCAGCAGAGCTAATGCTAAAAGTCAATCTTGCTTGCAAGCTAAGCTGATAAATCCTAAGAATGACAATTCCACCGGTCTAAGGTTTGCATGCCACCTTATTAAAGTTTTAAAACAACTGTTATGATTATTTTTATTCTTAACCTGTTTCAGTGCCTTTTGCATTGCTCACAGAACAGATAATAATACATTTTATTAAAATAGATAAGAAACTTAACTTGATTTCACAATGGATAAATTAACTCTCTGCAAGTAACCCATCCCCTTGGGGAGCAGTGGGCTGCCACTGTGTGGCGCCCAGGGAGCAGTGTGGGGTTAAGGGTCAGAGACCCAGAGTGGCAGCTATGGGAATTGAACCGGGTACTTGCAAACTTCTCAAACCACAAGCCCCACTTCCCATTGCTTTACAATATAGGGAGAATGAATGAGTATTAAAAATATCAACTAATTAAAAAAATTTGGTTGCAACTATGTATCTAAGAATCTTATGACTCCACAACTTACATATTCTGTTTAAAAATGCCATATGATACAGACAAGGATTTAATATGAAACTATCTAAATAAATTATATGCAAACCATCCCACTGATTTACGGTAATTGGTTTAGTTTTAATGGCTTCCTTTATCAATGTTGAAAAACACTCACACACAAACTTAAGCAAATGTTTTCTACTTTATATTGCAGATACAATCGAGATTGTGTGTACTGAACAAGACATATGAGCAAATGCTGGTTTATTATCAGTGTTACTGTACTTACCACTGATAAGACTTTCAGTTGGCCACGTCATGTGTACAGAGTAAATGAACATCACTGGCTTCCTGTGTCCCAAGAGAGAAGGCTCTACCCCGAAACACCTGAACTAATGAAATAGAAACCTACGAATTGCAGTCATTACTGAGGAATGACTTGGTTTGCAGCAGCCTTTCCACTCTAACCCTGTTTACACTTCCAACCAGCTTCATGGCATCATATAGACTCTGTAAGTGAGTGACACAGTCAATAACAATACGAGACACTCGGGTGCAAGAGAGACCAGATGAGTGACTTATTGGGTATAAAAATAAACACAAAATTCTGTTTAACTTAAAAATAACAGAAAGAAAGTTGTTCATTTGCATTGTGAAAAGTCTGCAGGTTGTTAATACTGATCATTCTGGGTGGCTACATTTTTGGAAAAGAATCTGTGCTAACTAAAGCGGAGCCATGTGGGGATGTTGAGCTTCTGTTTATGACACGTCAAAGATGGCTCTACACCTCTAAGGACCCAACTCCAGCGACTTATAAAAGTATAATGTTCCTAACTTGCAGAAATATCTCAACGTATATCATCTATGTGTTTTACTATATTACAAAAACCTTAATATTTAATTGAAACAAATAATTGAAACGCTGCTTTTCAAAATAAATCCTGAATTTGCCCCACCTTCTCTCTATCTGCTTCAGTTTTTTTTTTTCTGTTTTGTTTTGTTAAGAGGCAAGAGGGGCCAGCGAGTCGCCAATAGGCACACTCCCACTGCTGTAAACTAATTTCAATCAATCCTTCCTTTTTGCATCCAAAGCAGCCTCTGCTGGCTGCCACCGCCTGAAGATAACTATTTCACCACCTCTGTCATGCCTAATTAACAACTCAGATGTACAATTTAGAAATTTCGCAATTAACCTAGTAAAATATTGTTGGAGGATGCTAATTGTTATGCCAGTTGCCATAAAGGCTCATTTGCATAACGTATGTGCAAAAAACAATTATGAGCTGTTGATCGCACAGGAGCCCTGCAGAAAATGCTTGGAGCAATTGAGGGGGAAGAGAAGGATATGAATGGGTGGGTGGATGGGTTGGTGGGGGGGGGACGTGTGCTCGAGTGTGCAGATGGAGGGACAGCGCCGGATCATTGTACATAAAAAACAGATTTGAGAGGCCGTGCGCACAGATACACAAGGCAGCACGGCGGCAGGAACATCTCTCCCCACAGCACAAAAGCATTTACCCTTCCAAATGAAACTGGAATGTATGCTCTTGTTTTTTGTTTTTTTTTTCTCCTCCTCCCTCTCTCTCCCTGCCCTTTTGTCTTGCTCTCTTTCTTTTCATCCTGGCTGATGGGGAAATGGAGGGTATTTGGGAGCTACTTAGATAATAGCCACATCTTCTCCGGTCCCCCTTGTGCTTTAGAGGAGGAAGCAGTGGCCCTGCCATTGAGCCAGCCAGGAACCCAGCTGTGCACGACCCATTCGGCACAACCGCTATCTAGCCAGTACAGCCGCATCGCTGAGGCTCTGTGAGACAAAAAAGCAGCCAAAGTCAATTGTATCAGCTGCTGAATAGCTTTCTGTTCTCTGTCATGCATTTACGAGGGCTTTTTTGAATGATGAAAGGGAACCAAATTACAATGAATCAAATGTGAAAAAGAAATTAGAATAATTATTGGGAAAAAATATTTTTTGCAAGTCATAATTTCTAGGACTGAGAGGCTCATTCATTTTTATCTAGAAGGAGAAAAATTATTATATTTCTCTCTGTTTTCGTTTCTTTCGGTTGTAGTAAAGGGTCAGGGCAAGCTTAGTATTTAAGAGAAAGCGAATCAGATATTCACACAGATGCTTTACTGAGTTTACCGTAATAAAGGCACAACAAGAACTGATTCAGCATTGGCAGTGCAGAGGACAAACGGCAACAGTTCTAAAGAGGAACAGAATTTTAATGCTAAATATTTAGTCAAGTACATTCATTATACAGGATCATCTTGAATGGTTTCTTAGCCGACACTTTCTCTTATAACTCAACAGAATGCATGACCCAGACAAATGAGTTAAAACACCGCAACGAGCTCCCTGTTTTTTTATTTAGAGTCCCAGTCAGAAACAACCAGGCGACATTCTCTTGACCTGAGCGCAGACTCTACCTGTAATCCACAGCTTCAAACACTGGATCACAGCATTTATCAGCCTAAATCTGCCACATTCCCTCCCTCCCTCGGTTACCTCTCTAGACCACCTCCCATCCTCCCCCATTTTCTGAACCTGACGAGTCAAAGGTCAGGAAAACAACAAGTCAATACGCAACCACGAAGAAGAAGAAGCGCCTTGCAGCCGAGAGAGCCGTGGAGAGGGGTAAGCCCCTCTGCAGCGTGCCGTGATTTAGCCTGTAATAGTTTTCTGTAATCTCTTTCTATTGATTAAACCTCACATCAAAGAGGAGTCTTGCTAGAGAACCTCTCTTTTCCTGCTCAGAAATACCATATGGAGGTAATCTTTCACCTTTGTTATTCTTGCCGCTCCCACCGCTGGTGCTGCTGCCACTACTGCTGCTGGGAGCCTCATCTCCCAAGCATGCGGAGGGGAGACCAGTGGGATAATACAAACTCGGCTCATGGGAATAACTGCGAAATTCATCTGAATCGCACACAAATTTCACTCAATGCGTTCATTGTCATCTCATGTAGCCTCAGTGTATCTTTTGTCCTGAAGCACGGTGGAATTTTGCATACAGGTTTGATATTTGTACCAGAAGAAAACGCCAGCTGGGCGACAAAGAACAGCCCATGCAAACCAAATTCACTTTTTAGCTTATCTAAATGCAAAACTGAGAAGAAAAAAAAAATGAGGTTGGGGTGGGCTCCTGCTAAAAACACTCAATTTAGTGACAGGCAAATGACTTCATGCTGCCACTTAATCTCATTTCTTGCATAATGCTCTCTAATTAGCATATCAAAGTGAATTAATACTTCTAGGGGCATTAGCTATGCAGGAGAATGCTGTAGCTCTACAAAAACAGTTAGAAAAGCACCATAAAGTTCCAAACATCCTGACAAGTGTTCAAAATGTCTCGCTCTAATTCTTTAACCTCCTTTTTTTTTTTTTTTATACTTTCTCTAGTTTTACATGACAATAGGTTCTAAAGACGTGCTTATAATGATGGTTCTCAGAGTTCTTTTAAAAAAGCGTTGTTCATCTAGCAGTGGTTTCATGGCTGAAAGACAGCGGTCCCGTGTGTCATTTGAACAGACAGGTATGTGTCAGAGAGAAGCCCAGCAAGCAGTGCTATGAAAGGAGGATACACGTTGGAGGAGCGGACCGGTCAACAAGGCCAGCAGACCAGCTGAGCTCTGTCATAGAGAGCGGAGAGGCAGAGACTGGGACTCCAGAGCACAGGTTAACCATCCCAGCACACACAAACACACAGGCAAGCCCGTGCACACGCATTAACACACCTACATGCACAACAGCTCATCTCCACTTCTAATTATTCTGAAGCTCACTCACTCCACTAACATGCAAACAGATTTTTCAAAATGTGTCTAAAATTCTATATTTTCTATTCTGTCAAAAAAAAGATGTCCTTAAACATTCAGTTAACATAACTTTAAAGAAAATAACCACATCATGATTTAAAAAATAAATCTACTCAATTATGTGTTATGTCCATATGTACATCAAATCTACTTCTTGTGTAGTTTAGTACATTTGTATCATTATTATGTATTTCTTTGTCTGCAGCCACAGAGCCTTGACTAGACCGAGGACCCTGAGTCTGTCCCTGTGGACGCCACCTGTGTTGAGGAAGTTCATAAAGTTTTATGATCTCCTAAAAGCTAATTTCCTCATAAAGCGCACAAAGGTCACAAATCTATCAACGAGGTTTCCTCATTAGTTTTTTTTTTCCTAATTATTCAAACCCTTAAAAAAATACTATACAAGCCCCTGCAGATTTTACAGGAATTTTATTTTTTAACCTAAAGAATTAAACATGTAAAGAAAAGCTTTTTCACCATGATTAATGGAAGAAACAAAACGTATTCAGTAGAATATCAAGAAACAAAGTTCATATAATTTCTTTAATCTATTAATATTAAACATTATAGAAGGTCTTTATAGACTAATTTTATAAAAGGCATTATGAAAAGTTTTAATTTTCTAAAAGTTTCTAAAATTGAGCTATCGTTTCACTTGTGTGTATCTCCTTTTAAAGAATGTATTTTTCTATTTCTTCTTTGCTGTTCGAATATTACCAGACTTAACATATTTTATTATATATTTTATTTCTTTTTTTTCTGCAAATTGATTTCAAAATATCTGCTGTCTATTTTGTTTTTCTACAAATCAAGGAGGCTTTAAGCGCTATAATTACAGACAGACTGTAGCCCGCTTGAAAGCGTGGGATTGTTTTCATGTTATAAAACATGAATTTCTCTGTGATCTTAGCTGTGTAGAGCATATGCTGCGGGATTTCCCCGTCCTGTTCTGTGCCAGGATAGGGAAACACGCTTTCTGCTCAAAAGATAAGACATTCCTACAGGAACTAAAGCATCTCCAGTGGAAAGTGACAACAATTGTTGTTTCCACTTGACACTTAGTGACAAACTTAAAAAGGTGATTGATTAATTTGTGCAGACCTCCCCTCACCTCTCACCTATCCATGCAATCTAAACCCGCACAGTGCTTTTAAAATGACTGGTTGCATTTTTTTCTCTTCATTCAATATATATGTATATATATTTTTTTTACACATGGACATTTGTTTACTTGAGCATGAAAATCTTACCTGTCTTTTCTTTGATTTCACACAGAACGCTGAAGAGTGCTGGTTTCATTCTGTGACAGTTCAGTCCATGTTTCCTGTTTCAGTATAAGAAAAAATAAAACACTCAAATAAGGTCACTAATAAAAACATGATAAATATGAACAGGTAACAGCCTCCAAACACTTCTCATCTCACACTGCAAAAACCATCTAAAAATAAGAAAGAATTTCCTAAATTAAGTGTATTTACCATTAATTAGAGCAGGTAAACAAGATAATTTGCCAATTGAATGAGTATTTTTAGTCTTAAAATAACATAATTAGATAATATGCACCTGAAATAAGACAATGCATTTTTTTTCCTTTTTTTAAATGTAAATTGTCTTTTTCCATTGGCAAAGTGTCTCAATTTACCTCCTCAATTCAAGAAAAAAATGACTTATTTAGATTTCAATTTTTGAAATGCACAGACTTTTATAAGAAAAAGATACCTGAAGTGGTGTACCTGTTATAAATATATCTCCTAATTGCATATTCTTCGTGTTGTTTCTATTGCTTTTGCATTTTCAACTGCAGGGACTGAAATTTACCATGCATTAACTTTTTGCACCATATCACTCAGGTTCAAACAGGTAGTTTATCTAAAACTCTGTTGCTTCCTGTAGTGACAACTTCTTAAAGCTTTAAGAAGCGCAGCTTTAGATGGATTTTTATGATTACAGTCAATCTAGTCTATTGTTAACACATTGAGAGTTCAGGTAATCAGGGCCAACATCTCAGCAAAGATGCGTCCAAGGATGTGGAACTTAATAAAACATATAAATCAACCAACTTTGCTTGCGCCTCGTCGAGACTCTGATCGGTTATGGTCATGATCTGATGCAGAATGTCACCGATGTCTTGTTTTCTGCCGTCCCCGTCCGTCCCGTCGTGCCCGTGTGGAGGCGGCAGCGGCATCCCTCCCTGCACCGAGTGGCCGGCCAGACTGACGCCGCCGATGGACTGCATGATCCGGGCTTGATCGTCCATGGTAGCAGCTAAAGAGTCTGTGCACTGAGCCACACAAATTGAAAAACTCATATACGAAATGGGTTAGAGCATGTGCCGTAGAGACTGGATAGATAGAAAAGCGGTGGGATTGCTCAGAGAAATAAACACGCGTGTCTCTTAAATTATAACTACAAGCAGGTATATATATATATATATATATATATATATATATTTTAGAAGTAGTCCTCTTGATGGGTTGTTTTACGCGCGGTCCAAAGTGTGCCAAAAACGCGTAAAAATTGTTTTGCGGGAAAAAATAAGAGGAAAAAAAATCTTCTTCTTAAAACTTCGTCAAAATTGACGCTCCATCATTTCCTCCGCTCCAAATCCTCACACCGATCTGTCTTTTTTTCTCTCTCTCTCTGCGATTTAACACCGGCAGCGCAGACAAGAAGCGGTCCTTGGTGGTCTCTTCACCACAATTCCCGGCGTATTTCCTCTTTTTTTAAAAATTGTCCAAAAAAAAATCCTCCTTGGTGAAAATTATCCAACGTGGAAATTAGTAAACAAATAATAATAGTAGTAGTAATTCAAAAAAAGAAATCTGCAGAATGTTTCCTGTATTTATTACCATACACAGTCTGCAGAACGAGGTGTCCAAATGTTGTTATAAAAAATATGAAATGTAGAAAAAGTTGATTTTTTTTTGTTGTTGCGAAAGACAGAGAGGAAGAAAAAAGAAAAAAACAACAGCGAGACAAAATTAATTAGGATAGCGCGCTGTATAAAAAGCGATGCGCAAAAAAATATCTTGCCCTGCTGAAATTTATGAGCTCCAGCCTCTGCCTGTGTGTGTTTTATGTTGTTTGATGGCAGCGCTAGTGAGCGATTGACAGTGTGCCAATGCCACTCACTCAGTGCAGACGTGTCAGAGCAGGGTACAGGGGTAGGAAGGGGGAAAAAATAAAAAAAAAAATAAAAAAAATACAAAATACCGAAATGAAAATGCACGCTCCGCCCTGCAGAGGAGGGGTCTATAGTCTTGTCACTTCTCGCCCGAACAGCGAAAAACAAAATGTTAAGAGCGAGCACTTAGGATGCTGATTATAATGATGAAAGCACGGCTGAGTCCCCTCTCTCTTCCTTGCAGCGGCTGCAGGCTGGGTATCCTCTTTTCTCACGCGTGCACGTTGCAGCTATGTGCATATTCTCTAGCAATGATAAAGATTTAACCCTGCAACACCGCAGGCAAATGCATAATGAGAGTTTTTGCACAGTTTGATGAAGAACTGTATTGCCGCTTGCGAGCCTTGGTTCGAGCCAGGCGAAGCAGCAGACATGTTTATATTATTGCAAGTAAATCTCCTTTGGCCAATCCGCGCCCGGAAGGACGAAGACTGACGAGCCGTCCGTCCTATTGCTGGCAGATGCATGACGCCTAGATCCCACCCACTCCATCCCTCCATCTTCGAGCCCGCTCGTGCGGAAGGATGGGAACTTCTGATTGGTCGTTGCCACGAGTGACATCCATTGCACAAGCAGGCGGCGCTGCTCTGTGCTCCTCCGCAGTTGCTATGGCAGCAGACAAGTTGTTAAGCTGCTGGATGCGAGGCAACAAATATACAGTGAACTCCTGCAACATGCATCTATATCAGGGAGAAAGAAAGGGGGAAACCGAGAGGCTGCTTACAGTTTAAGACAACTTTCTCATTACATGGTTGTATAGAAAGTTATTGGGCAATAACACTGCTTTTTATTCTTTCTTTTTTTATTATTTACTATATAGGAGCTGATGAAAGATCTATTTATCTAACAGAAGGTTTGTCTCTAAAAGGCTATTTAAAGTTTGACTTCATGGACAATTTCCTTTAATTTAGATTTTTTTATATATATATTATACTGTAGCTCTATTTATACTGTATGAATAACATAATCACACCATAGCAGCCCCTCTTTATTTACATTATTTAGTTATGAGATACCCCCCCCCCCCCCCCCCGAAAAAGTCCAATAGTATCACCCCTCCCCATTCATACACACAACTTTTAATCCAAACTAGGGTTACTAAGCCACACTTTAACTTTGTCATATTATTGAAATTCATCTGAAATTAACAGTTAAGTTCGCAAAGAAAATATAAACGTGTAAATATGGACATTTTAATGTCAAATCTGTTCAATATTACAAACTAGAGAAGAAAATCTATTAGGTGGCTAAACATGTTAGTAAAATTTGTAAAAAAAAAAAAAAAAAACTTTACACAGACTGGAGTTACAAAGTGTACAATGAGACAAATAAAAAAAAGACACACTATATGTACTGTTTTAAAACCTGCGCTTCTTGCAATTAGATATTTGCACTACAAAGAGTGCCGTTGCATTGTGTTTTTCTTTATTAGAAAAAAAATAAAATCAACCTAACTTTTTAGATTTTTAAATAGTCTCAGACACTAAATGCTGTAGATTTAATTTGACTCTTTTGAGTTTTGGGGAGGGATTTTATTTTTTAGTTTTTTTAGTTTTTTTCTTACTTGTTTTGAATGTGCAGATTTCAAACAGACAATGACATAAAGCATAATCCTTCTTGCAAAAACAGATACATGTTTTAGTTTGCTTTTAAACTTAGTTAAGTTTTGCATTCATTATAAATATATTTGATCTCTTTAAGTATTGTGAAGTTTAGGGATCTAAAATGCAATAAACATTAAATGCAAACTATAAGTACTTAATAAAAATACTTATCAATGAGTATAAATGATGAAATTAGAATAAATTAAAAAAATCTAACAAAATTTGGCTTGGGGGCATTGCTCCTTAATTTAATGGGGTAAATACTGGGTGTGTGAGATGTTTCACTGTTCATGGTTTACTCTTATAAACTGATTGCAGGGAACAGTTAATCAAATAGGGTGGCTATCAATTACATACATTTTTTATTAGTTGTGATTTCTATCAGTTGCACTTCTTTCTTTAATGCTACTTTAAAAAGGACCTCTACAAATGAGAAAACAGAGATAACAGTTTTTCTTTCCTATTGTTTTTTTTTCCCATTTAGATAGCCACATTCTATATAGATTTATTTCCAACAAGCCAAAATTACATTTAAAAAAATCTGTGTTTTGTGTATGGTTATTCAGCCAGGATCTTACCTGTGTTCATACACAACGCTGTTCTTTAAAACCTATGATTGTCTTGATGCAAGAAAAAAAACAGAACATGCTAATAGGATACAGATTTTGAAAATCCAAACTGCTTTTAAAAAGTATTCGGTGTAGAGAAAGCAATTTCAGGTTTGATGATAAACTAGAGATAATTAAATGCCTGAGCAGCTACACTGCATGTAAACAGTGAACTAGTTCTTTAGTTTAGCACCGGTTTAAACCTCAGATTAGATAACTAACATTAGCATCCCATGATATACAGCAGTTTCCCTCTGCATTTTGACAGCACAGCACATAGAGGGCAACCATTCCTAACTGAATGAAGGTTAAAAAAAAAGAAAAACAAGAGAAAAGTTGTTTAAGGTGCAGCTCTATGCAACCCCCGTCACACTCATGCCCTGAGCAAAAAGAGAGAAAAAAAACTGCTAATTCATTTTTTCATACAATAACAGACCCTTGCTGGTCAGTAAGATGGCATCTAATTCCCAAATGTTACTAATTTAAGTGCACCCTGTACTGGTATGAATTTCTTAGTGGTCTTTGATTTTATTTGTTGATGAAAAAAAAACATCAAATCATCGAGTATAACATCCGAGTCCCTAGATCAGTCTTTAATAAAAGGGGATACATTTGCTACTATAAATTTATAAGTAGCCGTGGTATAGTGAGTCATAACATCACTGGATTCTTTTAACAGCAGAGGAAGAACTTAACTGCAGTTACATTTCTACTCTACATAAAATAGAACTAAATAAGTCAGCTGTTTAATAGAAATGAGAAGATGAATTGTTCCTAAGATGATTTTATGCATATATATATATATATATATATATATATATATATATATATATATATATATATATATATATATATATATATATATATATATATATATATATATATATATATATATATATATATATATATATATATATATATATATATATATATATATATAAAACAGTAGAAGGAACTGTAGAAGTGCATTTAAGGTAAAAGGCATGCTCTTAATATTTTATGTTTTTTTTTTTGATTTTGTAAAAGGATAAAAAATAAAGTTAATAAATAGCAAAAAACTACTGGAGCAACCGGTGCTAACACAAAGGTTGATCACAAGAGCAAAAGCTGGGAAAAAAAATAATATGAAAAATTTATTTATTGATCAATCTTTGGGTTAAGTTTAGATTTGTTATTAATTTTATTCTGAGTCAATTTCCAATTTGTAAATCAAGGGTCTTTCACACTGACTTGGGTTTTGCATTCTTCCACTCATCCGTTTGACCTTGAAGTAGGGGAGCAACGCACCCTTTAAGTTTAGTGAATGAGAGTCTCAGGACTACAACATTTATCATTGAAATACTGAGCTGTCAAGTCACACTGCATACCTGTCAGCAAGGGCTCAAAGGTACAGCTTCGGCTCCTCTCCTCTCTTGCAGTGTATGATTCTTCATTGCATTGCATAGCAGGCCTATTCACCGTTGTTTTCAGCCATATGTCAACATAATCCATTTCCGTATGTGACAGCTCCTTACAGTAAGACATTGGGTGGGGGGGCTAGTTCACAAAACTGTGTTTACATAACACATTCTTAAAGCAGTTTTCCTTTATTGGTGGAAATAAATCTAAAAAAAAAAAAAAAAAAAACAATCCTGAAGGATGGTTTATTTGACACTAGTGACACATGGTTTGACTTTCTTGTTTCCTTGCTGGTTAAATTAGGAGAAAATATTTTTACAACTGAGCACAGCAAGGCAAAGGAATAAGCACCTACGAGTGCAGAGACAACACTTTGTCATCATGCTTCTCATTGTGACATCTGAAAAGACCCACAGGTGCTGTAGAAAGTGACTGTGTTGTCATATTTCATTTAGGCATCCTTCTGCAAAGCTGTAATTGCCTAATTAGCTTGTTAATTAGGAGATTAGCATTTACTGATAGAGTGGCTTGCTCTGTTGTGATGAGAGTAATACAGATTAAGTGAGAAGTTATGGGTGCGTGAGTTCACAATTTCTCTGTCCACAAACGGGTCACAAATCATTAAAAGGTTTGTTAAAAAGTCGGGTGTATTGCATCTGACGACGGTGCACAGGTTTCCTCTCTGTCTCAGAATTACAATGATGACAGGGAAGAAATGCAGAGGGCAGCCTGTCACACAGATACCTCCAGGTCTGAGTGTTGCCTGCATGATTCCTCATAGCGCAGAGAGGAAATGACCAATCAGACATACCGGAGACATTACTAACCTAATTATCAGCAGTCTTTTATCTACTTGAGTTCTTCATTTTATTTTTATCCTGATATTTGTAGCATCTATGCATGGACTCTGTCTTCAGCATAGTAGCAAAATGGGATGACTAATGGTTGAATCTAGATGAAGGTTTAATGTGAACTAACTTAGTCACTTGCTATGTTTACCAGGAGTAATCAAACTAACTTCAGTTCCAAAGTTTCAAAAATGTTAGATGTTATTTACTTTATTATTCTATTTCACCAATATAGGTACTAATATGATAAAAGTTTGTCGATAAATAGCTATTTTCAACCTATATTTGGGACACCAAACTGCAGTCTTCAAATGAATTAGTAAGTTAGGATTGCGTTCAGATGGATGAAAATTCCAGCATAAAATCCAAACATATAAAAGCAAATATCTTTTTCTTTGGCACAATAGACTGGAACAGCTAAAAAGACATTTTAGGGCAAATGCGAGACTACAACGGCAATAACTTATGCAATGTATAATGTACAATTATTATTTAATACCCTGTGCAAAAAAAACTGTTTCTTTATATTTGATACCCAGTGCAATAGCTATATAGATAAATACCCATATATATAAATACCCATGTAAATACCATTTGCAATAGCCCTGTTTAATATCCTGCTTAAAAAAAAAAAAAGTACATGTCTTCATTGTGAGATCAATAAAGTCAATCAATCAATCAAGGGCAAAGATGTCAAAAATCATATTCTATTATGTGTATGTTTATCACTATAATGCATCCTTACAATTTTGACTTAACAAGGATTTATGATTACCAAATTTACTGCTTAAAATGATACCGTATAATATAGTATTTTTAAGTCCCTTCTTAAGACTCATCTTTTTTCCTTGGCTTTTGGCACAATTTGAGAGGTTTTACTTTGTTTTATTCTGTTTGTAAACTAA